CTCTACCCCTGTGCTGTTTTTTGTTAGGCTGCTCACCAGTTGCTAGGATTTTTTTTTTGTTTTGTTTTGGTTTGGTTTGTGTTTTGCTTCAATCATTTCCACTGATGAGAGCATCTGCTGCCATCTGTGCCTCCCTCTCCTCCCCCTGGCAGGGCTGCGCACTGCCGTGGTTTGCCTGCAGAGCCGGGCTCTCTTCTCTGCCCAGCCTGTGGCACGTATCCTGTACAGTCCTGACAGTGTGCAAGGATGGAGAGTAGGGGAGAAGCACCTCCAGCAGTGCCCTGCTCTTCGCCTGTATCCACTGATTGTATCTGTGCACTGCTGCAATTGCACCACTTGCAGGACCCCCATGGTGCCAAGGTCCCAAGCAAGCCCAAGACCTGGTGTCACTGAGCAAGACTGCAGTTCCTCCTCTGACAACCGATGAGACCGTTTTTGAGGGGAAAATATAGAGGAGAAAGGACTTTAGTAAGGTCACCCAGGACATAAGCACATGGGTGGGAAGAGGCCAAAGCTGCCACTTGCTGGCAGCGTGACTCTGCCTCCTGCTCCACGAAGTGCCTGGGAAGCAGGGTTTTGAGGCTACATCTCAGTGTTGGATTTTGCTGGTGGCTCACACGGCCCACAGAAGGATAGAGGTTGCCATTTACATCTCTAATTGTTAGTTTGGGTATCCAGGCTGAGTGCTGCTCCAGCCCTGACTCACCGTGCTTTGCCTGCAAGCCCTGCAGCTCACCCATGGCATGGGAACTGGTGAATACTGGTGCTGGGCTGGAAGGTTGTTACCTGAATTAACTCCAGCTCTCCATTACTCTTCCCCTAGACTAGGAAAGCTGCGGGGTTGCATTTACCGACCGAACAGAACCCGCCCACCCCCGTTGGGATTTCGTGCGCTGCTGTCTGAGAACTGGCTCGGCGGCGTCCCTGAGAGCTGCGGGGCAGCGGGTTTGCTCTCAAGCACGCCGACACCCGGCCCGCAGCCACCTCTCCCGGCCAGTGTGGAGGGTAAATGTGTAGCGGCGCCAGGCCCTTGCGTGATGCACGCATACCGGCTGGCATAAGGGGCACGTCCCTGCAGGAGGCTCTTGCCCCCACCTGCCTCTGGATAGTTTTAGGGTGCCGGAGCCAGCCTCACTCCACGCTGCCTCTTGCCCCGGGTAGGGGCTCCCATCTCCTCTGCGGTCGGGTTTGGTGGGGGGCGAGTGCCTGCTGCCCGGGACGGGCGGGGATGGACCACCGCTCCCGGCAAGGGACCAGAAGCTTTCTGGTCTGCCCAGAGGCCGCGGAGATGGGCTGGCGGCGTTGCGGCGAGCTGCTGGGTGCACTGGAGCAGTGTAAGGGGGCCCTCTGCCTGCCTCGCGCAGCAGGGCAGCTCAAGCTCGGAGCGGGCGTCCGACTCCTTCCTTTCCTCCCTAACCTTCTCCGAGGTGCTGGCGCTGCCGTGAAGGAACTCCGAAGCTCTTTCCTCGCCGGACTGAACGAGCCCCGCTCCCACCCCATCTCCTTCCCAGGCACGCGTGCCCCTCATCAAGCTCGGTGGCCTTTCACCGCGCCCACCCCGAACATCTTTCTTTACCAGGGGCACAAAACCAGCAGCAGTATTTTAGGCACAATCTCATAATGTCGACTAAAAGGGAACAATCACTTCCCCCTTCTCCATTTTTTCCCATCTACCTGAAGAAAAAGCAAACCGAAATCCTCGTCAAGCTGTCAAGATCAGTTTCCTGAAGGAATACAATTAAATCTCTATATGGCAACGTGACCGTCAGTTCTTCCCCATCAAAAGATGCTTCTCAAGCAGCGTTTGGCTGTTCCTCTCTTCCACCCCCTCCTCTCAGTTTTCCTTCCCGCCGTCGAGTGCAACAGAGGCTGTGGCTTCGCAGCCAAAAAAAGGTGTGATTTGGAGAGCGCTGCGTGACGTGAGTGGCAGAAGTGAAAAGGCAGAGAAGCAACCTTTGAAAGCCTGCCTTCTGCTGCATCGGGTGTCAGCCTTGGCAAAACCTGAGCTTCTGGAACCTTCTTGCAAAATTAAAAAAAAAAAAAGAAAAAAAGAGAAAAGGCAAAAAGCACAAAGCAGTCACAGGACCTGTCAAGATTCGGCTGCTGCTTTTCTTTCCATCATTTCTTCAGAATGAACAAAAGTTCATTCTTTCACGTAACAGCAAGGTTGGTGCAATCTGGGATGTACCTGCCTGACAGTATATGGAGATGCAGTTTTGCCATCTTAATTTGGGGTTATCAAACAATGGCAAGACTAAATGAATATTTGGAAATCTATCTTTCCCCCTCCCTTTTCCCCATTTGGGGGTGCTTTCCTACTGCATGATTTTGGAGGGACTCCATTAAAATGAAAGGGACAGGAGGGGAGAGCACAGGGGCTTTGCTGCTCCTGGCCCAGAGCTGCAGGTGGAGCTGAGGTGAGGGCTGTGGTGAAGCTGAGCAGCTGCCTGGAATCAATCATCCCATCCTCCAGCCAAGGGGTTACTGCATGCTCCTCTGCTACCCTCTTTGTGTCTAAGGCAGGTTTGGGTGGGCCTCTGACCTGCTACAACACAGCAATTTCAGCATTCACACCTCCTATAATGTGTGCAACAAATAATAAATGTGATTGTTACTAATACTAGCGCACCCTCTCCATCCCTGATGGTTTATGCATGCAAAAATGATGCAGAGTCAGTTCAGAATTCCCCCTGGTTCATTTACACAGCATCCATTTTCCTTGCAGATAAAGACGGTCCGTCGGGGGAAGGGATGATGGTAACTCATTTGTCACACTTGTTAAATGTAGGAAAGGCTGGCTTTGGGGTACTTCCAATTTTGTGTCAGCTCTGCCTTTAGCTGAGCAGACCTGTGCCTGCATGCCAAGCAGGGTGGCTCTCTCCTGTGTGGCACCATCCCTTCCAGATTTCATAGGTTCAGAGGGTCTCTGAGAACAAAAGTACTTGCTCATCCTACCAGGCTTGTATTTGGGCTGCAAAGCTTGCGAGGTACAGTGGGCATCTGGATGGTAAAGGACACTGAGAACAAGATTTTGGGAACTGCCAGTGTGAGCTCAGTGCAGGTACAGGGAAAAGGTGATGCAACCTCTCCGTGCTCCTCCTAACCCTTGGAGGATTTCGGGGTGACTAGTCTGGATCTTGCCTAAACTAGCACTGTCCCAGCAGGCTTTAATTTGCTCCAATCATCAGGTGCCAGCACAGGGTGGCAAGTCATTTTGGCTGCACCCTCTTTGGAGGCATTGCCATCGAGAGGCCACTTCCTTCTTCTGCTGTGGACAAGGACTGGATACATCCCCTAGAGGTGTTAAGATGGAAAAATGCTGATGGCTATGACCCTTCAGATCTTGTTTCAGGGAAGGGAACAAGAAATAACCAAGAGAAGTTGGGAAGAGTCTTGACCTCCAGATGGGTGATCATAGAGCAGTTCATGGTCGAGATACTTCGCTGATGGAGGACTCTTAAGTGCAAACCAGCCCCCTGATCTGGACTGGTATGGAAATGCCCTCCAGTGAGTGGGGAGTAGGTAGGACTGCAAGTCCTTCTGCCCATAACTTCCCCTATAAATTAAGCCCGGATGGGGTTAAGGTGTAGAGAGCTGGGCAGGAAGGGTGCTTTTAGGGAAGCATCCTTATGGTCTGTCCCCACAGCTTGCTGTGGCAGAGCCCAGACACAACACATTGATTTAACCTCACACCCAGCAGGGCATGAAGTGTCCTGTGACGGCCTGTCTGCATTCTGTATCTCTTGCTGCACCTCTGCTTTAGTGGTGGGCACAAAGGTGGGCCCAGTCTATGGCTGGTCTGCAGCAACTGGTCTCCATTGGCACAAGGTCATCATAGAGCTGGAAAAAGATGAGACAGCTGTTGCAGATGAGATGAAGCGAAGGGACAGAGGGGCTGAAAAGCTGTATTTTGGTCCTGGTCTTGCTATTCACTTGTTGTGTTTCCAAGCCAGGACGTGTTGATTTGCAGCACCGCAGACAGCTATCAGGAAGGGCTCTGAACTCCTGCCTTGTTTAGCAGCAAATGCGTGGTGCCTCTGAAACATGGCTTTCAGTAAAGACCCTGGGAGGTGCTGCAGTAGCAGCAGCTTCAGGCTGCAGCAATTCATTTCTATCTTCAGCGCTGGTCCTAGCAGGGGAGGGGGACCTGCCTGTTCAACTGCCTTTGACTCCTTGCCATTGATCAACCATTGCAGGAGTCGCTGAGGTCTCTGCTCTTAAATCTGGATCTGCACTGTCCTTCAGGGCTGCATGCTGCCCTGACCTGCAGCAGCATCCCTCACTCCTGCTTCAAATCTCTTCCAAGCAGGCACTGGTGACATTAGCATTTTCTCTTGTCAGCCTGTAGGGACCTGGAGCACAGCCCTCCTAAGGAAGAAATTAACCCAGCAGCACCAGTTAGCAGAGGTATCTTTTATTGACTGTTTACAGAATACTGTAATACAGAATCTGTTTAGGGGACTTAGGTGAGTTCTCCAGAAGGTGCCTTCCTTCTCAGCATTGCCAGGAGATCCTGAGGAGAAGCCTGCTCTGTAACATATTGGGGCTCCCTAGCATGAACTTCCTAGCACCCTCAGCTCTCCAGGGGTTGGGGGTTGTTTGAACATTGGATGAAATTCAAGAGAGGAAAAGGAAAAGAAACCCCCATACATCAGGAGGTGGTGGGGCAGTCTGAACACACCCGATATGTTGTGAGCCAGCCCTGCTGTGGAACCCATCCATTGCTGCACATGCCTCCTGCTTGACAAGACCCCCACTGCTCCCCAGAGCTCAGCTCTCTGCTGCTAGGCATGCGTGGCTCTGGGCTTTGCACACTCTTGTCACATGGCTTGTTGACCATAAAATAAATATTTCTTGGTCTATTTTTCTTCCTGTACATGTGTTAGAGACCCTTTCCTATAGCAGTTCACGTACTGTTTTTGGGAGCAGGAAGGGTACGCTCACCTGGGCTGATAAACTCTTTTCACTTTTATTTATGTATTTATTTGGCTCTTCTCTAATTTTTTGCAATCAAGGTGGAGTATTGTTTTTATTCTTTTGCGCCCTTACTACAAGAAACAACTGCAGACACTTCTGGCATAGAGGCATTTTGGCGGCGGCCACTGCTGTTGGCCTCACTCTTAGTAATCAGTGAGGGGGTATCGCAGGAAGATGAAGATAAGGATTATACAGAAAGTGGCAAGGGCTGAGCTGGTGATGTTAAAAAGACGGGCTGTCTTGGCATCTTCAACAGCTCCATTTAAGTCATTGAGGAGTTTCTTGTCCCGGACCTGAGATACACACACAAAAAATAATTAAATAAAAGAATTGGAAGACATACAAAAGACAAAGCGTTTCAAACAACACTCACAAAAAATCAATTCATTTGTAGGGCACCTGTATAGCAGATGAGGACTGAGCAGTGCCTCTTTTCATTTGGAAATGTTCAAAATGTTCAAAGCATTCAAGGATAAACACTTTAAAAGTGTTCAAAAACCATGTAGATTATGTGGATGAGGCCCTTAGTAACATGGTTTAGTGGTGCACTTGGCAGTCCTGAGGTAAAGGTTGGACCTGATGATCTTAAAGTTCTTTTCCAACCTTGCTTATTCTATGATTTGAATGCGTGGGGTGTCATAAAACACACCAAGGTGTGGTTTGCATTCCAGCTCTGCTATGGGTTGAGCCTGTGAAGCCAAGGATTGTAACACCTGTGGGATGGAAATCTCTGGAAGCAGAGAAGACCCATTGCTGTTACCAACCAGGCAAACCAGGTCCCTATGGCCTCTGGGGTGGGGCAGTGTCTTTTGAGCCTGAAGATGCATAAAGGAACTGAGATGCCATCATGCACCCCATGCACATGGGCACTCAAGCATCCTTCCCACCATGTCATAGCCCTCTGGCCCTGAAGCCCCAGAATTCACCTCACCCAGGCCACGAGCAAGAGGGCTGGCTGCAGTTCTGGTGTGCGTCCCCATGCCTCTGTCTGCACTGAGGGGCTGAGTGGGTGAGCGCTGGCAGAGTATCCTACTACAGCTCCAGGGCTGTGCACGAGCCTCCAGCATATTAAGCAGTCCTGGGTTAATGAGTTCCTTTTGCAGGTCTGATGCAGCTCGTGCAGCGCCTCTGCCACTGGCAGTTTTCAATCCTGACAGCGCATTCTGCTCTCTTCATTACCCTGAAGGCTGGGACATTCATGGGCTTGCTTTGGGGCAGCTCTGCAGTGGGTAAGGACTGTGCATGCCTGTGTCACTGGCCTGTCCCCGCCTCCTCCAGGCAGCCGTGGCACCAGCAGGCAGTGGATGGCACAGCTAGGCAGTGATGCTACTAGAAGGCAGCAATGGCATTGCCAGCAGTGGACGGCACTGCAACTCAGCGGATGGCAGAGCTGGGCAGTGCTTGGTATGGCTAGGCAGCAGATGGCACAGCTAGGCAGTGATGCCACTAGGAGGCAGTGGATAGCACAGCTGGACAGTGGATGGCACTCGCAGGCAGTGATGGCATCAGCAGATGGCACACCCAGGCAACTGATGGCACTGCCCACCAGCAGCACTTCATCTGCTTTTTGCTCAGGCTCCATCTCTTCCTAGTAGATATGTGTCCTTGTCCCCAAATTGCCCCTTCAGCCAGCACTCAGCAGACCCAGGCAGCTGGAGCCACAAGGGTTTTGGACAAAGGGACCGGGAGATTCGACCCCTCTTCCCTTTCCTGTATCCGAGTGGGGTACCCAGGGACCATATGGCACGGCACGGCAGCTCCTGCTATGCTGCCTGCTTTGTGGCCAGAGGGTCAAGGCTGCGGGCCCTGTCCTTTGGTGCACTGCCGGCAGGGCGAGCGCCACCAGAAGCTGCCGACCTAACACTAGATGTCGGTGTCAGGCTGGGAGAACCAGCCCCGGTGTCCTACCTAGAAATACTGAAAGGCTGTTAAGGACCAGGAAGCTTTCCAAAAAGACTGTGATGGATTCAGACCACGTCCTAATGACTTTTTCTCTCTCCCTTCTGCAGTGCTTACCCACGGGGCTGTCCTGAAAGCCTTCTGCTTGCTAGGTATTGGGAAGGGCTGATGAACCCCTTCATTTCCACTGAGCCATGCTGGTTCGTGGGGCCTCCAAAACCAGATCTCAGACCCTCAGGCAATGTCCTCTCCTCTCACACCAGTGAGGACCTCTGCACAAGCACCCTCTGCTCTTCACTAATCCTGGACTGTGGGTATGGAGGCTGCATCTGGCACGAGGCCTGCAGGAGCTGTCACTGGCAGGCACATAGGCAAGAATGAGAGCTCTGTTCTTCTCCTTGTATTAAATCCTGCAGTGCCATGTCCTTGGCCTCTGTTACATCCCATTCCTGGGAGCCTACAGCTGGAGCCAGGGCCATCCATATAGCTCCATGGCAGGCTTGGCTGTTGCTGCTAGCAGTGGGGATGACCCCTGGGAAGGCAGCAAGCTGTCAGCCTGGGAGCCTGCATGCCTTTCTGTGTCAGCTGTGTCCAGGGTGACGCACCTTTGAAATTATCCATTGGTTTAGCATCCTCCCAAAACCCCCGGGGCACAGGAGTGCCAGGCAGCTGGCACATCCTCACCCACTGAGAAGCACAGAGGTCCCTGCAGCCAGAGACCCACAGGCACTGGATTTGGGACAGAAATCCCAGCCGCTTCTCACAGAAGGCTCTTTAAAGCTCTCTCATGTGCTTTCCTCTTCTCGGTGGCTGCCAGAGGCAACTATGCAGAGCAAGTGCCTTTTGACCCTTCCTCCACTGTAAGCCACCCTGGAAGAGGTTGCTCTCTGCTGCAGGCAAGCCAGTGTTTGCCATCAAGTGTTTGCCAGGCAGACACAGGTTTCTCCAGCAGAGCAGCATAGCCAGAACACCAAGCTCTGCAACTCTTCCTGCAGTGAACCGCTTACTTTGCCTTTGCGGGGCCAGTTCCTCTTGGTCTCAGGAGCTCTCCTACTCCTCACCTCCTGCTCCTCCTGACCCCAGGGCACCCTGCCACCCTAATTTCCATGCCCTACCTTCTCCCAGCAGCCTCTTTCACCTGACAGTGGCTCACACTCGTGACCGATGTTGTAGCTCTTTCCCATGGCATGCTTCAGCAGCACCTGACCTACCCTTGGCCCCACTCCAGTCCTGCTGCTGATAAGCATCCCTAGCGAGGGGTGCCTGGAGCTGCCCCCTCCCCAGTGCCCCAGTTTTCTTCCCAGTTCCTTTTTTTTGTCCTTCCCATCTCTCCTTTTCCCTCCTGTTTGGGCCCAAATGATGGTTCAGACAGCCACCTTCCACTCCCACCAAAGGGCATCTAGCTGCCTCCTCTCTCTGCGCCACCAGCTGGTTCCACCTACCCCTGCCCAACCCTACATTACACGGAACTCTGTCTCTATCTCTCGTCTCCGGCAACCCCGTCCTTTACCTTTCCTAGCTCTCCTCTGTCTGCTCTGGCCTTGGCCACCAATTCCTTGGTCCCTTTCTTCTCCTCCCTTGCTATTTCCCCATACACATATAGCTTCAGAAGTCACCGTCATGCAAATCATCCGTTATTGTCCATTATCATTTATGTTGCAATGGGGCCTCTAAGCACCAGATAAGTGCCAGGGTCTCTGCAGCACACAAGAGCAACATAAAGGCGTTTCTCCTTCCAAACCACTCGCAGCCCCAGCCTCCCACATCTCTCCAGTGCATCCTCTCAAACTCTTGCCTCTCCTTGCACCCCCAGATGCTTCCAGACGTCTCCCTTTAATGTCCCACTGCAGCATCTGAGCCAGATTCTGGAGGAGGAGCTCTTCTGGAGAGCAGGTAAGTTTTCAATCTCTTTTCCTGCTTTGACCTAAAGGAGGTGCCACTGTCTCTCTCATAGCCCAGGCTCAGCTTTTCCTATATTCATGATTCCGTGGCCACCATTACCATAATGTGCTGGCAGCTGGTGCGCAATCCCAGGGAGCTGCTTCCTTCCACAGGTCTCCAAGGTCACCCCCTTACCCCAGACCCAGGTGTGGTGTTCCTTAGTTACAGACTCTGTTCCCATCATCACTTTGACCCTTCTCACCTTTCCTACAACTAGATGGGGGCTTTTGGCCCTGCTTTGCACTGAGATACCTGGTGTAAGGATAATTACATCTGCTGGCTGCAGGGCTTCCCACGCACCCCAAGCCTTGTGTGGTGGACCCTTTGGCAATTCCACCTTGGGCAGTGCAGAGCTTACCTCTGATCCAGCTTGGCAACTTCTACAGTTCCTTTCCTCTTCTGTGTCTGGCCTTCCATGAAACAGCCTGCTTTTGTGCTTTAATGTGCAAATCTTTCTTCCTTCCTGCACCAGCAATGGCCTTTCCTCCCTCCCTGCTTGCCTGTCACCTCCTGGCTGCTCACCTTGTCCTCCACCATCTCCAGCATGCTGATACCAAAGAATTCTTTCTCTCCTCCCTCTCACCACCATCACCTGTCCTTCCTCCCTTTGGGATTTTGCCTTCAGCTTTCCCTCCAAGCCTTCCCTACTGCCTGCTCCTTCACAGCTCCTTCCTCAGCAGCCACCTCCCCTCTCTCTGCTCTGGGGCTCAACCCCTCTCATTTTTAGGAATAGGGAACTTCTGTGAATAAAAAGTGCTGCCTCAGCTTGCAAGAGGAGACAAATGGTTTGTTGATAACGATCCTAATGAGGCTGTATTTAAGGCAGCCTGGCTTTTAGCATGCAGTCGACAGCTGCTTGTCTGTAAACTGATTTCTGTGCAGAGCTCAGTGTCCCTAACATAAGGAGCTCTGGAAGGCATCCTTGGGTTTATTTGCTCTGTGAATCGGTCAAGAGCTCTCCACCCTGCCTGTGCCCTTGTCATGGCGCTGTCACCCCTGCTTTTCACCCACCTCCATAAGCCATCGCTCCTCCTGAAAAGCAGGCTGAGAGCTTGCCTGAGAGGCCAGGTGCCACAGCTTCTCTGCTTCTCAGGGTTAATAAATAGCTATGGATCTGTGCCCGTCTGCTTCCTCTTGAAACAGGGAAGATCAACAAGTGGCAAGAGGGGAAGGCAAACAACCGTGCCCACAGCTCTGTGCTAAGGGCCAGGCAGAGAACAGGCAGGAGAGCTCATGTCTCCTGGGGTGCTATCACACTGTGTATTTCTGTGGCCTTGAGGGGCAGGAAAACTGGAAGCAGCCCTGCAGGCTGCTGGTGGGGCTTAAAAAGCCAGTGGAGCTTCGTGACATCTTTGTCTCCACACAGCTGCAGCAAGGCATCTATACCACTGCTTGTCTCAGATCCCAGCTCCTCTGGCATAATGGATACTGAAAAGGATTTGGATCTCCCCAGACTGGACCTCGTAATGACTGAAGTGAAATCTCCTGCCACCAAGCACTGATGCATCATTTGTTACTGCTTGGAGCTGGGAAAGAGAGAGGCAGAGAGCTGCCAAATATCAGGCCATGGCATTTACTCCTGATCAAAAGCAACCAAATCCAAAGCATTGCCATTGGAGCAATCATTGCACCTGTATTGGGCTGGGTTTAAGGTAACTTTAGAGTTTCTAACTTCCCTGGTCCTGCTATTTATCTCTTCTCCACCAGCACCAACACACTGTTATGGCTGGTTACATGTCTGTGCTCAGGCTGACCTTGAGAAGCCTGAGATGCCAGAAATCACCCCTGGGGGATATGTGAGTCAGTGTGACTCTGCTGCAGTCCCACAAGCTGCGTCTGCTGAGGATCTGGTTTAGCTACGAGTGTAAATGGAGATGCAGTGTGCCATTGCATTCTTACTCAGAGCACTTGGCTGGGATGTCTGTCACACAGAGTACCTGGCTTGGGTGTCACAGTCTCTGACTTCGTGTGTTTCTTTGAATAAGTGCATATAAATTCTTTGACTCTGGGGTGGGTTTTTGGTATTTTTTTAGTAAATGTTGGTCACCATGAAATAGCATTTCTTTGCAGAAGAGATCTAGAAGGCTGCAGCTCGTGCAAAAGGCCAGGCAGACATGGAGGCACTGAAGGGTCTAAAACCAATAAAAGTGAGCATGGGGAATGAGACAGCTTTACGGTAACATTCAAGTGTACCAAGGCATACATCTGTCTTCCAGTGTGGGCTTTATGCTGCCGAAACTGGTGGAGATACTACAGTGTGCTAAGATACTTCATGAAACCTCTCACGGACTCGGAGGACGAAGGATCTACTGTTTTATTAACAGCATGAATCTGGCAAAAGCAGATGACATTTATGGCGGGGTATCGAAAAAGCTATCTTTGATAATGAAATGATTCCTGAGGTTGCTAGATGCTTCAGTTATTTAAAGGAAATGTGAAAACCATAACCCAGGAACCTTTTGATGCCATCAGCACACTGATGGCCCTTCAGCCAGGAACCCTGTGCTAAACCAGTCAAGGACTCTGCAGTCAGACATCCCAGAACAGGCTCAGGGAAGGGAAGAGGCTGCTCCCCTCCTCTCCCTCCCACAGCACCTTACTCGGCCTCTGCAGAGCACAGGCATCTTTGGAAGGCTGCGACTTAAGTATCTGCTGCTCAATTGTCCTTTCATTTAATTACAGAAGAACAAGAAAAGTCTGTTTAAAGGGACATTTGTCCCAGGATGTTTCTTGCTTCTGCTTTCTCCGAAGTTCTGGGAGAAACCTCACTGACTATAGAAGAGATGAAAACAACAGGCTCCTGGAGGAATAACTCCAACATCCAGCCTAGCCAGGATGTTGTGAAGGTTTTTGCAGTAGCTATGAGTGAGGAAGGATCCTGTCTTTCTCAGCGTCCCAGTGGTTTTCCCCAGGGCAGATCTGCTGCTTCCCCAGCATCCCTGTTGCTTCCCACCACCGATCCTGATGGCAGCCCATGAAGGCACCTGCCATCCTTTCAGTCACTTGCTAGCTCTGTCCTGTGCCTCTGAGAGACATTTTGTTTCCATTTCCCCCACTGCCACAGGGTCACAGATACCGGGGAGCTCCAAGACCAGAGCAGGGTTATTTCTACCCGCTCAGCATTACATCTGTCTGGGTACCGCCATTATATCCAATCAGCTGCCACCACTGCAGTCCAAAAGCCAAGGCTGGGTTTTGACAGCCATCTTATATTTTCCTTTCTTGATTTGGAGCAAATTTGACCATTTGCCTTCCCTCACCACTGCTTCTTTTTTCACAGTGGAGTTTATATCCTCTAGACCTTTGCAGCCAGATGCTGAGTTCACGCCTCTGCCCTGGCGATCCCAGATTACTTCTGGGCTTTGTTCTTCCTTCCACCTCGTGTCAAGGGTAGTGAAGGGTCCAGCCTCTAAAAGCTTTGTAGGTGGTAGGCCCTACTTCATCCTGTCCCCTGGATATTGGATAAGTTTGGTCCTCAGGCTGTCCTGCCCCCCCTGCTAGCTGCAACTAAGGGACCACGTCTACCCAGATAATAGATATCTGCTGTAGCTACCGCCATGTCCTGGTGACATAACACTATTTCTTAGCCTGCTGCAACCATGCCTCTTGCACAGGAAAGATACTGACTGTATCTCAAAGGCAAATTCAGATGAGCAAAGACATGAAAAATATGGAGGAAGCCAGTTTCTTCCATAAAGGGCTGGAAGAGTGGGGGGGGTGTTAAGGGATTCTCCCTCCACTTGTGTTAGTCTGTCGCTGCCTGGATTTGCCCCTGGGTCAGTCCTGTTTGTGGTGATGCTCAATCCCAGTATGACTTAAGCTATTAAGGGACTTACCCAGGAAGCAAGGTCCAGTGAAGCCTGCTACATGGGTGGTGAATGTGTGCTCACCTCCCATCTTGGGGAGGGGGAAACTGAGGCAGACACCATAGTGCCAGTGCTGGGTTTGCCTAGCTCACGGGTCTGCAGACTTGTCCCTGAGCCTTTCTACCAGAAACCGTGATGGGCTCAGGAGCAGCCTCCTTGCAGCACTGGGCACTGGCTGTCCAGCTTGTGGGAGCTGGATGGGGTTAATTGATCTTCTGTGATGAAGCCCGTCTGCGCCCTTGCCTTCCTCTAAATGCTGCCTGCCAAAACAAATCAGCTCGCTCCTGTCGGGGCCACCCAACTGCCCCGGGCTCTCTGCACATCCATTCAGTCAGTTTTGCTTCTGTCAGGCCGGGAAGGGAAGGGCAGCCCTGGCCCTTCTCTCTGTCAGCCACCCAGCCTGTTTGCTGGGTGCCATCCCTACCGGGCTGCTCTGCCCTGCAGCTACCAGGAGTAACCTGTTCCTATTCCCATCATGGGCTGTGCTCCATGCCACCGCCATCAACACAGCTCTATTTCCCTCTAGATCTGATGCTCTGTGAAGACCCCCTGCACCCTCTTCCACCTCCTTGGCAACCTGAGGCTTGTTCTGATAATGCTGGCAGGTCTCCAGGGCTTGCTTTGGGATTTATAGGCGTCGGAAGTGGTGGGGGAAAGGAGCTGGCTGGTGTTTTAGTTAGGAAGAGGGCAAGAATTGAACAGGCAGGATTGCCCTGCACCCTGGCAGCTTCTCCCTTGCTGCAACTTGCCAGGCACCAGCTGATCACTGCCCTCTGCTTCTTACTGCTTCTGCCCGACCGTTTGATGCTGCTGGGTCCTACCCTGATGATCTCTAACTGACAAGGAAGGGACCGAGTTCTGGGATACCTGCGGGAGCAGCATGAGCCAAGCCAGCCCATCAACCTGCTATTGCAGTACAGAGGAAACTCCGAGGGTACCCGAGCAACTCAAAGCACCTCTTCCCCACTCGAAGCAGCATCCCTATCTCCAAAACACACCTCTGCTCTTCCCATCCCCAGCGAATGGGACCTCTCATTTGTGTGGCAAAAATGTGATTTACATCAGGCGTGACCACCAAACACTCCCCCGCTCCTCCAGCCACCCATTACCCTGTGCTGCATGCTCAGTACTCACTTTCAGTGAATAGGCCAAGGCGATGAAGCCGAGGCAGCAGAAGTTGAGGTATACAAAGTTGAAGATGGACCAGAGATAGTAGTCGTTCACCTCGGTGGTGTCAGGGTAGATTTCAATGACAGTGGTGGGGTTGGTCATCGTCTTTTTCTCCACCGAGTGCTTGCAAGGGACCGCCGGTCGCAGGCTGTCCCCTTTGCAGCTCTTGCTCTCCATGAGATAAACGGCAGAAGAAGGAGACAGGACCGGCGAAGCTTGCCGGAGAGCCGGGGGCTTGGCGATGCAGGCAAAGCAGCCCTGCGGGGGGTCCTGGGGGTGGCGCGGGGTCCAGGCCACCCCTTCGAAGGGGCACGGCGGGCCCAAGGGGGGATCCTGTGTCCTCTCCGTGGTGGCTGCCGCGGAGTCACCGCGCTCTGCCCTGGCAAAGCAAACCCCCTCCGTAAAAAATGGGGTTGAGGGGATGGAGAGGCGCGGGGGAGTGGGGGTGAGGAGAGAAAGAGGGGGTAAGAAGTGGAAAACGAAAGACGCAGGGGGGAAGGCAGGAGAAAGCGGGACAGGGAGACAGAGGAGAAAGCAGGGAGAGGAGCGAGGGAGTGGGGAGAGGAGTGGCGGAAGGAGCACCGCTGAGTCCGGGGACCACGGAGCCGCCGCCACAGAGCGGAGCTGCCGCGGGGCGGCTGAGGAGCGGGCAGCATCCCTCCGCCTCTCCTGCGGCCTCCCTCCTCCGCTGCCCGCTGTCCTGCGTGACCCGCCGCCGAGCCATGAGTGAGGAAATAAACAAAAACAACATAACGGAAAGAAATACAAGCAGAAGGAAACACTTGGGAAGAGCCGGGGGGGCTCCGCGGGAGTTGCCGGCTGAAACCGGGCTGCACCCCCAGCAAGCCCTCTGTGTCCGCCTGTCTGTCGGTCGGTCTGTCTGCCGGGGCCTCCGGCTTTCTGTCCCATGTAGGGATAGGAGCGGGTCTCCCGGTGCGGCAGAGCAGCCCGGCCCCTCGCTCTCCCTCCTTCCGTCCCTTCTAGGGGGATTTTTTTTTTTTTGAGGGATTTCCCCTCCTTTTCGTTTTTTCCTTTTGGCCGAGTCTCTGCGGGATTCCAGGTGGGATTGCATTTCCCGAGTCCTTCCACCTGCCAGCAGGTTTCATTCCCGCCACCCCGTCCCCTTATTTTTGAAGGGGAGAATATCGTGCCCGGAGAGGAGGAGAAGGAGGGGTAAGAGGAGATGAAGACAGAGGATGGGGAAGGGGATGTGGGAAGATGTCGTGTGCCCCCCCCCCCCCCCCCTTCCCGCCAGCTTTGCAAATAGGAAAGACTAGTCCACCTCTGGCTGCTCGTCCGTCCGTCCATCCGTCTCCTCCGAAGGCATCAAGAGGAGCGAGGGATACTCACAAGGAGGGATGCGGGAAGTCGCTGCATATCCGGCTCAGCACTGCCTCCGGCTCGGCTTCCTCGGCGCCGGAGTTGCGGAAGGAGGGGGGGAGGGAGGGCACCCATGGACTAGCGGTGGGCAGTGGGGGTGTTAGGGAATGGGAAGATCAGCCTGCAGCCCCTTTCCTCCCCCCAGAACATGCTCCACGCAGGAGAGCTCCTCCGTGTCTCAGCCCCACCGGGACGTCACCTCCTGCTTGGAGCATCCTGGTAATGCCTTACTGGAGAAGGGCATCTTCTGGGCCCCGGCCGAGCGGCTTCCCTGGTCTTCTGGAGGGGATGCTCTGCCCGACTGTCTCCTGCGTCACTCACAGAGACCTTTGCAGTGGGGACTCGCTGCGTGTTTGTTCCCATAGGCTCGGTGAAAACCTAAAGGAAGAGTGGCACGGGCGTGTGGGGACGATTGGGACTGCGCGACAAGGGGAGGTGACAGCAGCACAGCGGTCGTGGGGGATGAATGGAAAGGGGATAAATCCTGCGTGTGGTGTGATAAATCCTGTCTGCACTGAACAAATCCCAGTGTGGGCAGGGGCGGGAGCACCCTGGAAGCAGGATGCAGGGCATGCGGCTGCTTTAGGGGAGGGAGGTGGGGATGTCATGAAGGATGGACAAGCGCAGGAGGATTTGGCCGTGCCTGGGCTTGGCACAGGATCAGGGAAGTGCTTGCTGCCTCCCTTTGCCAGCTACTCTGGGAGCTGCATGGAAATGCAATTCTGGGGTGCTGTGGTAGCATTCCCCCATGGGATGTGATGCTGGAGAGCAGCTGGTGCCACGCAGGGAGAGCTTGCAGGTCATTCAGGAGGATGCAGCTGTGGCACCGGGAGGGTGAGGATGTGAGGACACGCTGTGTCATGCAAGTGGCAGAGCCCGGCCCAGCTCAGGTGGCCTTGAGGCAGCAGCTGGTTCTGCTGTGGTTCTAAGGAAGGGGAGCAGGGGAGTCCCAGAGCACTGGAAGCAGGCTGGGTCAAACAGAAGTTCGTGCAAGCAGTACCTGCAGGGGAAGGGAAATCCTCTGGCATTGCCTTAAGACTACCCACAAAGTGCTGACCTAAGAAATAAAGATGGTAATTTATTCAGCTGTTCACAGGCAGGTTTGGCTCCTGTGTAGGTGCACACACCCTGTGTTTATCCCCATGGGTTGGTGTGATGCGAGGGGACTTCTTGCACATCCGCAGCACGCCCAGACTGGAGAGGGTCCAGTCTCTACAAGGCCGGTTTAATCCCGCTGTCCTTTAACCAACCTGTGCTGGTTAGAAAAGGACAAATTGCATCTGGTTCAGGATTTATCACTGCTGAAGTGCTGCTGGGTTCTGCCAAAGTAAAGAGGGTTTTATTATCTGCCTGTGACAAGACCCAGGTTTCTCTCCAAGAAGCTTCTAAGAAGCAGAAGCAGTGCTGGGGTGAGAATGATGCTCCTGTGGGATTAAGAGGTTTGCAGGAGAGGCAGAACTGCAGCCAGCTGCCACCAGCTTTTCTGAAGGGCTTGGACAATCCCAGGCAACTCGCACCTGTGCAGAGCTGGTTCAGGAGGAGCAACGAAACTCCTTGGATGCAGATTGGTGCCTATCATAGGAGCTACTGATGAGCCTGCTGTTCATTTGCCTGGGGAAAGTTGTGTAGGTAGGGCTCCTCCTCTTCTTAACATCAGGCAGGGATGGAGAGTGAGCAGAGGAAAAGGTCAAAGAGGGCTTCTGGAGGAGGCAAGAGGAGGCAGCAGGGTGGTGTAGGGGATTGTCAGATCAACAGAGGTGGACACATTTCCTGCTGCGCAGCAGACAAAGTTCAGGGAGGCTGCATGGCTGCTTTTTCTCTTCTCCACGTACCAGGTCAGCCCTATAGTTTGCAGAGTGCTTTTGGGTCTTTGGGTTGGTAATTCATCATCTTTCTTGATGTGAAGTGTGAGCAATGAGAGATTTATTACTGTGTATCACAATAGCATATATCACCATACATCACCAGTTCTAAAACCATTCATATGACTCTTCAAAATCAGGCAATAGGCTTAAAAAAAATGGCTCAATGAATAAAACCCCTCAATATTCTGTATTGTTTTAACACTCCTCCAATTTTCTGGGAGTCCTTCAAGGTCATGCATGCAAGCCCTCAACCATAAGGTTTAGGACCACTTTCCTTTCAAATAAAAGCTGGAGTGACTATGAATAGTCATCTGTATTACTGTGGTGTCAAGGCCCACATCCCTTTGTGCTAAGCATGAGACAAATAGAACATAAGGGTGTTTCCTGCCCCAAAGCAATTCTCCTGTAATCTTGTTAGAGACATGTGGGCTGTAGCATAACCAAGTGCTGTAAGACCCGTGAGAAAGTCTTCCATATGAAAGCCTGCTCCAGCTCTCTGGGAAACCATTACTAGGACTTGACCCTGTGTTTTTCTGATGGAGAAAGCCCACAGCCTCCTGAATGTTCTTTCCTATACCTCCTATAAAATTCCTCAGTGTGTTGCTAAGCCCTATAAGCAGTAAGGTAGCCTGAGGCTTGCAGGGGAAAAACCCATCTCCCCACTCTCCCTTGATCTCTGTCTCCTGTCCTCTAAGCTTCCAGTCTGCGCTCCACTTCTTTTCCTTCCCAAAGGAACCTAAAAATAAATAAATCCAAGAAAGAGCAGAAAAAGAAAAAAGCCACCAGCACCCAAACCAATGTGCTTAGTCATTCATGGTGAGTAAAAATAGTTTTCCAAATGAACGTACTGCTGAGGCAACCAAATGAGCAAGTCATCTCCATAAGAGAGGGGTCTCATTCTCCCTCTACCTGGGCAGGTCCTTGTCTAGATGGGCTTTTAGCAAAGCAGAGCTGGTTGGAGAAGGATCAGACCCATGAAGACAGACCTGAGGGTCAGGGCCAGGTGCCCTACTATTCAAGGGGACATGTCATGAAAATCTTCTTTGCATCAGTGGAGACATTTAGCAGAGTGACTTACCGAACTGTCTTGTGCATGGGGTTCTGCAGAGATTGTGCAATAAATGGTGTCAACCTGAGGATCTGCTTGGTAAGATAATGTGGGGCTGTCTGCAGGCTGCTCATGGGGTGGGTTGTGCCTTGCTCCCTGCTGGAAAAGCATGGATGGACAATCCTGGCTCTTGGCTTCTCCAGCTCTTGGCCAAGACCAAGCCTGTGGCTGTTCTCACTGAGACATAATGTTCAGTACTCATGGCATGATTAAGGGCTTAAGTACAATCCCCCCACATTCCCCCCAGCAGAAACAACACTCTCATATTCCGGTAGATAAATATTTGGCAGTGGATGACTTGTTCTACCCTTGGGCTATTGAGGAACAGTGGACTGCATGACTGGTTTCCAGGACCCAGCCAGCCCTTTTGGGTTAAGTAATTTCCTTAACCTTGGAGAACAGCTGATTGTGGTATTAAGGCATCCTGGGGGAGCAGAAGCTTGGGACATGCCCATGTGCTTAGATCTAGGCTCAGAAGACTGGATGGGACTTGCCTGCATCTGCCTTGCTTATGCAGATGATGCTTTTTTCAAAGAAGGGATTAGCTCTTATCTTATACCTGGCACATGGGGCCTTCATTCTGCCTGGAGTCTCCAGCTCCCGTACAGCAGCACTAGGGCTAAAAAAATCACATAGCAAGGCAAAAGGGATGGATTTTTCTTACATTAAAAAAAAAAATCCAAACCCTGTGCTCCTCATCACCAGGCTCTGGGAGCATGAACTCCACATCCTAGTTGGTTTTAGGCTGGACTTAGAAACTGGAGTCCCACTTTGGCTGTTGCAGGACCACTCTGTAGCTCAAGTCAAGTAGGAGCTAGTTTTGGCTGGCCCAGAGGAGCCCCTGTTGGAGGACTAGCCTTCGCAATACTCAGCCAGGAGATGTGGCCCCAGGAGAAGGCTGTAGGCTAGGACAGATGCTGGGAGTGCCTGCTGCACCAGTAGCACTGGGTCAGGCTGGTAACACTGCTATGTCACCCTGCAGAGGCTGGGTTATGTTTTAATACATTGAAAAAGACAAACCCAACAAGCTCCCAGCACAGTTCCTTAGCAGAGGGAAGGATGGCCTTCTGCAGCACATATGAGTCTACATGAGTGGGGGACTAGACATACTGGAACATCAGGTTGAGGAGACAGTCTCTGGCCACTGAGGAGGAGTTTGGCATCCCAAGCTGCTTAAGAAAAGACCACTGCCAGAGTTAAGGGGGGAAATACTGTATTTTCTTTTCAATTTTCTACAATGAGACAGTAATTCTGACAGCAAATTAGATTTAAAAAATACAGTCATGTGGTTAGAGTTTGGTTTAAAAATGCAAATAAAAGAACAAGGGGAGGAGGCCCATTCAGGGAAGACTACAATGAACTGCTCCTCCAGCCTATCTGAAGGTATGTCACTCAGGGAATCACTTTGGGCTGTGCTCATTCTCTAGGCAGCAGCCTCCTGCCTGCCCTGCAACAGACATAGCTCAGCCTTGGGTTACTGTGGAGGCTATGACTCAGACAACATAAGGCATTGCAGTGCACCAGAGCTGCAGCCCAATGGCTTGTTCTGGGGCTGTGCTGCACGTCCTGCTTGGATGTGATGCTGAAGACATTCAAAACCCACTGCCAGCTCCATGTCAGACTTCCCTGCCCCACATTAGGTCTTGATTAGCGGGTACCCAAGAGGCTATCTCTTGTCTCGCCATGCTGAAGAAATCCTGCAGCTGGGAAATGATGCAGCAGGGCTTGGAGGCGCTCTGGGCACTTTAATTGGTGTGGAGCTGGGGCTCTCTGGAGAGGTGCTGAATATCGGCTGATTTTCAAGTACCATTGATGATTTCTTTTTTTGGTAACATGCCACTGTTCTCTAGCCTGTCTGCAACAGATGTCCTTCGGCACCCAGATGCAGGTGAAGATTATAAGCCAACAGAAGCAAGGTTTGGGAGCAGCATTTGTCACATCCAAGGTCGCAGGGGACAATGCATGTGTCCCAGGTGCGCCCAGGCCTGACTGCACTGCTCACTCCAGACCGCTCCAAGGTGTGTGGCACGGTTATAAAGCCAAGCTGCAGTGTGTGGGGACAGGGGATCCATAAACTACATACGCACTGTTCAACCACAGTGCATACGTACCTTAGGACCTCTTCCCCAGTGGTGCCTCTGATGCTTGTGGAGAATTCAATATTGGGGATGATGTATATCCATTTTACCAGGCATAACCTATTCACCCACTGTCAAAGACCTTTCCTGGGAACTTCCTTGACCCCACTGGTACTGCTGGCAGGATTATCAGTGAATTCTGGGAAGCCAGGATTTTACTATCACTTTTGCCTAGTCTGGGGTCACAGCCATGGCTGATCTGGTCCCCTTGCCACTCCCAGCTTTACCCCTCACCTGCTGCCACTCCCTAACTTCAGGACCTTATCCAACACACTAGGAAAGTTAAATCAGCTACAACCTCTCTGAAGCAGGACTGTGCCTCACTTCATGTGCAACACAGGGTGGACATGAACAGGGCTCTCACCAGCACTAGTAAGGTGGAAAACAGGTTAAAGGCAGTTGGATTTCACAATGGGGTGGCAGGAACAGTGAATGCAAGCCCAGCAGCTGCCACAGCACCCTCCTGCACAGGAGGCTTGCTGGCTCTGCCAACTGTCTGGTTTTGGGCAGTTCAAAATGCTGAGAATAATGTTTCCAAAAGGTCCTATGTGGCTGACAAACACCTACAGAGTTTATCCATGTGATTTAGGCTTGTAGATCACTTAACTGCTTTAGGAAACATTATTCTCAGCTCACTGGCTGCAGATGAGGCTGGGGAGATCTGCAGTTTGCAGAAGCTGGCAGAAGTTCACCAAACTAGAGAGAACCTTTGTCAAGTGACTTTGCTCAGCAGAAAGCCAGGCCTTTGTGGCTATGAGTTCAAGTGACCTCTACTAGATCCTATCTTGACCCCCTTTATATTTGTACTCCCTAAAGATTCCCACTGGCTGGAGCTCCCCTTCAAATTCCTGTCCTGCAAGGTCAGGCATGGGGACGTCACATCTCCAGCTCTCTCACTACTGTCATCACTACACAAAAGCACACAACCAGAGCCCTTGGGCATGGTACCACAATCCCCCATTGCTCCAGCACGGGACACGTTCTTTTAGGACCAAGCCAGTACAAACCCATTGAGAAATGACCTTGCTGTCGCTGCCTGAATCTGTCATGGAGGCGTGATGAAGCCATCCACTCCCCCACTTCAACAGTGATAAAGCACAAAGTAGTAAATCACTTGCCAGCAGCCTGCCCTGTCCCTCTCCCCCAGCTCAGAAGCCCAAACCCAAGAGCAGCTGCACAGCCTCTCTGCAGGAACAGAGGTGTCAGGGGCTGGCTCCAGCCAGCTGCCCCCCAGGAAGGAGACCAGGGCTGGGAGACATGAGAGGGCCTTGTTCAGCTCTGAGAATCAGTCTTAAAAACAGATACTGGAAGACCTAGCAGTAAAGCGAGGGGCTACTCCAGCTGGAGTCATCAACTAGAGACCTCCCAGCACCACCTACTCAACAGAGGGGAAAACATGGCCAGCAGGACACTAATGACTATTTTCCATGTAATTTTAAACCTAGTTCCATTTCTTTTTTTTTTTTTCTTTCCACTCCCTGGATTTCTAATCGTGGTAATCTTTCTCCATGGCTCCTGTGCATGTGTGGAAGTGTGTGTGTGGCAGAGGCAGTGGGAGGTGGGTCAGGCGTTTAGGCACATTTGGCAAAGCCAACAGAGTCATTATCACGGTCAAATACAGTGTAGTAGGGACCGATGAAGACATCTCCCAGGATCCAGAGTGGGCCCCCAGGGGGTGGGACGTCCAGGCCTGAAAAGCCGCTCAGGCAGATGGTCTCTCCTTGTACAGAAACCTAGACAGAAGGTTGAAAGCTTCAGTCTCCCTTGGTCTTCCATTTCCCTCACCCTCGCAGGCTTAGCAGTAACACCTGACAACGCTGGCTGTGCTTCAGCCTCTCCCACCTTGAGATCGAGTGCTTGTTGTGAAAGTAACTCCCAAACCACTGTTCTCTTGGCTCCAAACCCAGCTCCCCCTCCCACAGTGCTTATCGCAGCAAAGCATCAGGTAAACCTGCATGTGCCCATAAACTTCCCAGCCTATGCAATGCTGAATTAGAGCCATCACTGAAATTCTGCACAAGTTGATTCTGATGGCTTAAATGCCAGGCTGGTGGCCTCTGCTACGATAAGCTTCATGGCACCATAATCCAACAAGAAAGAGCAAAATATTTATAGAAAGTGATGCAACAGTTTGCCTACCCTCCCTCTCCCATCCTCCCATCCCTCATGAGCATCACGCAGGGATCTCATTCCTGCAGGACTTTGGTGAGGTTGCCTGGCTCCATCAGCAGTGCCACCTCCCCAACATTTCAGACTTTTTCCACAAGTCACTGCCCTTGTGTTTTAGATTTCATGGTTGATGACTGAGTGGAGGCAAAAGTTAGGCCTTAGAGGAGAAGCACAGGGCTGGAAAAAGCTGCCTGGACATACCTTGAAGACATACTGCTCTCCAGTGAGCTGGTAGGGCTTCCCTCCTAGCGTTAGTGTGATGACAGGCAGAGATGACACTTTATCACAGGGAATCACATACTGAAATAGTAACAGTAAAGGCTTTAGATGGCAGCTCCCACACCCTCAGGAAAGGTCTTCCTCGGATACAATCACATCTTTGCTGTAGTTTTCCCCCAAAACCAGCTCATCATGCAGAAGAGGCTTGAGATGGGGTAAGCAGGTTGCTCCCTGCCCAGGGCTGCAAGCTGAGGGGTCAGAAGGTTTTAGGGACAGAGATGGAGCCAAAGGTTCAGCTTTTGGCTCTGCTGAGCACCAGGGCTTAGCATCCGATGCGGCAAGGCTGGGGGTCTTGCCACAGAAGGCAGAGACACGGCTCAATACAGCCTAGAGACATAGACAGGGTGTGATAAACAGACAAAGCCAGTTTAATTAACACTGGCAAATCTTGCAGAGGTGACAGGTCTAACTTACTGCAGCATGAAGCAACACTGCAGAAAAGACCTACAAGTGCTCATGGCTCTGTGATTTGGGAAGGGTTTTGGAGAACAGAATCTTTCCTAGAGGCACCATGAATCCCTGTTTCAAGGAGGAGAGATGACCTTGTGAGATTAGCTGCGATGGTTAAAAACTTGGCAGGGAAGGGTTGTCATTTGCATTAAATAAAGCGCCTTTGGACTCACATTAACAGAAATCCTTGACCTCAGCTGCAACTTAGACCCATTGTCCCCTGCCTGCCAGGGATGGGTGGCAGAGGTGACCCAAAGCCTTCCAAAGTTCATGGAACCTGGCACTCTGACAGCATGGGCAGGAAGGTGAACACTACATGGGCTCAAAAGACAGAGGGCTTCCTGCTATGCCAGGGGCTTTTGTATGAGCACAGGCTGGGAACGGCAAGCAGAGGGAGTAGAAGACCAGGGTCTGTAGAAGGATCTGGGTGCAAAGCAGTGTGGATGACATAATGACCATGGACTCCCACTTTCCCAGCCTGACCTCACCTGGCCTTTGATGAGTGGTTTTGCACCAATGGCTGTCTGCAGCTCCTTCACTTCCTTAGTGGGGCCAGTGATGAGTGAAGTTCCTGTGTCCACGATGGCCTCGCAGCCCCCTTTGCACAGGGTCAGCCCATTGGCAACATCCACCCTGGGGAGAGGTGCCCAGATAGAAGACAACTGTTAAGAGTCATCCCAAAAAAAGGCTGTGGGAAGCAGAAGGCAAAGAGTTGAAGATGATTGAGTCTAGGCAGTATGGAGGCATGGAGTGGAGGGCTGCCACAGATGCCCAGGAAGGACAGATGCTCAGAAATACTGATGCAGCACCAACTTAGTGCACAGAACCCCTAGCTTCCCCCTGCCTGCTCCCAACTGAGCAGGTGCCTTGAGGTGTTACTGCACTTCTGCAGAGAGCCTGGACTGCTGCCTCTGTATCCTGCCTGCCACCTCCGCTCCAGAGCGAGCATCACAGATAATGGGCACATGAGCGAGCTCAGGGCAATGCATTAGGGAATTGTATTACCTGTGCTACTGCAAAAAGCAAAGGGTTAAAGGGGTGGTGTGACAGCTGAGTGGGTCACAGGCAAGGGAAGGGTTCTTGTACGTCAAAGAGGCAAGACAGGAGCTACTTGGCTTCCTCTCCTGCATCGTTTTTCGCAGCAGTGCAGATGGATAAAACCTTCCAGCCAAAGGTCTGCCAGGCTTTGCCAACAAGGCAGGGCTGGGGGAAGATGAGAACTCAAACGCCGTGCTGGGGTGGGATGCAGTCCCTGGGAGAAAGACACACTCTGATCACAGGCTGCTTTTAAGTTCCTATCACGTGAGAGAGCTCAGAATAGACCGTGGGGCTGCTGGCCAGCAGATCAGCCCGCTCTCCTCCCCTCTGCCTCCAACAATGCACACTGATTGCCGCGCCATGCCCTTCAGTCAAGGGCTGGCTTCCTGAGGCCTCATCCTGCTTCTCCAGAGTGTGCAAGTGAGCCTATAGATCAGGCCTTGCTGAAAGCTAAGGAAAACTGGGATTTAACCCGTGGGGCTCATCCTGACTGCAAGGATGACATGCTAGTGTTTTATTCCTGCTTTGCAAGGATGCAGCAGGCATTTTCAAGGGTCAAAGATCAACAAGAGGGAAAGATTTTGCAGAACATCTCCTGGTGTTTTCTGCCTCTTCTCCCCTTCCAGCAACAGCTTTAGGGTGGGATTTTAATCTGTTTTTTGGTGTGGATGTGTTTCAGGGATAGAGATGATTCCTTTTTGGGGAGGGCCTCAGCCCAACCCCAAGTGTGAGCTTTCTGCACATGTCCTCACGCATGTAGCCGGGTGGAGGAGGGACTTACGCATCCATGTGGACCTGCCAGTAAGCCTTGCGTGTGACATTGACCCAGCTGAAGTCGCCACTGTAATACTTGGGGTCGGTGCCCCCCAGGAGCAGCTCGCCACCAGGCTGAGCAGCAGGATCTCTGAAAAATAAAACAACCAAACCTGTGAACATCAGGGTCAGGGTGGGAACAACCCCCTCTGCATGCCCCCAGACTACATGCCCAGGTGCTTAGTGGTGAAGCACAGTGTTAGCAGCATTGGAGACAGATGATTTACATTGCACTATTATACGTCAATATAAGGACGGATACTGTGAGATAGGCTGGGGTGAGGAAATGGGAATTTTTTTTACCCAAAGCATCCTGCAGCTTTTTTGACTAATGCTTTCTCACAGACACCTGCAGAAACTTGCTGTAGAGAAGTAGGACAGAGAAGGGGAATGGCAAATGGGAACTGAGCACTGACACAAGGGACCCCTCAAATAATCAGCTTGTAACAAGCACCCGTGCCAGGGCTGGACATGGCTGATACAGCATTAGGTTATCTTCACTCAACTCCGTGCCAGCCAGGAGCCTCAGAAATGAATCCTCAAGGTTACTGTCAGATAAAAGCTCACTGCCAAGCAGATGGGAAGAAATATGGTGATGGGGGAGGGCTGGCTTTGAACAGGTCAGAGCAGCCTCTCTGCTGTCCCTGCTCCTGGTGTGCTACTTTTTGGGCTGAAGTACTTCAGAGTCCCCCCTGTGGTGCCAGGAGGGTTATGTGGTGTCCTGGGGGAGCAGCAGTGGGTGGGAAGGCACTGGGAGGCACAAAGGATGATCTCCCTGTGGGTGAGAGAGTGTTAGCCCCATCATTAGTGATGACTGGTGTGGGGCATGCTTGCCTGGGAGGTGACACTGCGGTGGCCATGTGTGTCATGGATTTTGACAACAGACTGGGGCTAACGGGAACTGCACTAGCAGCATGCAATCTCTTGATCACAACCCTGCTTATTTTCATTTCCCTTTCCTCTGAAAACAGCCCCTGTCTCTTCATCAGTTAAGAGATCCAGTAGCAGATCTACCCAGCTTTTTATCAGTAAACTTCTACTTCCCTTCTTGTTTCAAAGCAGACAGCAGAAGAGATTTTGGCCTGACCGCTCTAGCATGGAGACCTTACTGGAATCTCCCCTGTGGTGCTGGCCAGGGTGTGAACTGGCACATGGCAAGAGATGCTACCAGAAGACACAGAAAAATGCCCATCTTGGCTTGCCCTCGAAATGATAGGTCTGCCACCAAACCAAACACTACCTGTTTAGGTAGAAAGAGAAGATGTTTTTCTCAATCAGCTTCTGTTCCATGATGTTATCGAAGAAAGGGGTGACCTTGTCCACAGAGATCCTTGGGAATGCCATGCCCAGGATTCCGTCAAACTTGGCTGCAATGAATGTGATGCCTGGCTGTTTCACAGCTTCTCCAAAGATCTGGTTCTTGATTTTCAAGTTGCCAAGCTGAGGGGAGATAGGGAAGGAAGGGAAAAGCAGATTATAAAGAAAACTGACTCGGGGGACCAGGGCGGAAATGGGATCTCACTGAACGCAGGCTATAGTGTGTCCCTCAATGCACTGCCACACTCCTGCCTGCTTTTACCCTTCCATTTGTAGGCAGCTGCAGAAATCAGATACCCTGGTGGCACTCTCCTTGCGGGGAGAGGTGGGAGGGGTGTGGAGGGCAGGACACAGGCTGCACAATGGCACCTTCTGCATTCCTGCAAAGCCCAGCATACCCCTAAGGACTGGAGCCTCCCTCTCCTCTGCCTGCTTCACTCAGCCCTTTCAGCCTTTAGCTGGGTTCAGGCACTAGCCATGCCATCTTTCAGCTCCTCCTCTTTGCACAGAGGGACCTATATCATTTTGTCCCCTCTACATCCCTTCCCCTATTGCCTACTTCATCCTATCCTCCCAGCCTGAAATACTCTTGTGCTGTGCCTTTAATCCTCAACATTTTCAAAGTCATCTCTGTGCCCTACCTCCTCGGGTGTTGCACCCATTCCCAGCTGGGAGTGCAAATGCTTCTCATGTCTGCCAACAACCCCTGTGATCTCCCCTACATAAGAAACATCCCCAGGATATTGCTGCATCTCCCAGAAGAGCCACCAGCCTGCAGAGACCTCCTATAGGAGGGGAGAAGACCCAGCTGGGAAAGCAAGGTTGAGCCGAGAGCACTAAAATAGCAAGTGGAGTACTGTGGATGCAAAGGTCACCTCTCTTGCCAGCCATGAGAGGGACTGGTGTTCCGTGCTGAAAGCTGAAATGCCTCAGAAGGGCAGATCCCCAGAAAGGAGATCGCAGAAAGCAGGATAGCTGGGCTGACAGGGAGCAGGAGCTGGGTCCTGGCTATAGCAGTTCAGAAGGTTTCTGAGCTTCTGGCTGACCACAGGCAGTGTCATCATCTGCACAATTTCAGTCTCCCAGCCTGCAGCTAGCAGCACTGTAGCGAACAGGGCTGGATTGAAAAGCTGGTGTCTCCTACCTGATGGCAGATAACGATCACTGTAAATTACTAATATCCCCCCAGGGTTAGACAGTGCAAGGCTGGGATGCTGGCTTTAATGGTATCTGGAGGCTTGTGCTAGGAAAAGATGATCGAGCCTTGCAAAAGCTAAAAGCCACAGAGCAGGATGTGGGGTAAAACAGCTTAGAGCAATGTATCTGCTCAACGCTGTGCATGTGGCAAGTACCCCACTTGTATGCCACAGGTTTACAAAAGCCACAACTCCACCATGCAGCACCACTGGTCCTGCTGCAGCTCAGGAAGTTCAATAAAGCTTCCACTTAAAAAAATTAAAGTGCAATGGACTGATAAAACTGAGCACCAGGTTTGTCTGAGTATTACCCTGGTGGCACATCCCAAGAGGAAGGCAGGTACCTGCCCAGTGGTTGGGGTGCCACTCTGCAGATGCCACCACTGCAGACTCTGCCCACGCTTGGACCTCAGCAGGACCAAACCCCAAGAGCACCTCTAGCAGAGTGCTAGTGCAAGGAGACAGATCCTTTGTGTTTGCCCCTCACTAGACAAAGAGCAAACAAAAATCATGACCAGTGGATGGCTGCGTAGCAGCCACTCCTCTGCTCTCTGCAGGCAGGAGTCAGCACACTGCAGTTCACCTGGCCTCCTTGTTAGCACTCTCAGCCAAGTGGGCAAGCACTGGATGGTAAAGGCAGACTAAAGGCGAGAGCCTCCACGGCACAGTTTGGTAGCAGGGCTTGAGGGTCCCCTCTGCAGAGGCACAGGGGAGAGGTGAAGAGGGCCACTTCCTGTGGGGTGTATCTGCACTGCAGCCTTGGGAGAGACCTTGGCCCCATGGCCAGTGACATTTCCTCTACTGCCCTTGAAGGACATCCCAAGGTCAGGCTGTGCTAAAGGGAAGAGATGCTCTAGCAGCAGAGGGCTGGTTGAACCTGCTGGTCTTTGAAGAATGAGCAGCAGCAGGGAGCGCAGTGCTGCAGGGCATCATTCCTCCACAGAAGGAGAAAGGATGCTTGAGCTTGTCACCCTCTCCAAAAAAAGTTCAGGGCTGAGGGACTCTGGACCACCTGGCAAACAGCATCTTTTGGTCAGATGTCACTGCTACCACAGGCTGCTGTGGCTACTTCCACTCTTTGGGATGGCTGGAGCCAAGAGGGTCACCCTGAAGGCTGTTTTAATGTCTGTATTTCCAGACTACAACCAACTGGGAGGCTGCCTATAGGATAATGTACAGCAGAGGAAATATTCTGGTGTCCAAGCTGAAGGTCCCTGACCCTCTGAGTCATCCCTGCTCCTGTGTCCTGCACAGGCTCCATGCAAGAGGTTTCTCTTGCTTCTGCCCAGGCAGAAACCAAATGCTACAAGCTGTGCTGGCTACCAAGAGCCATCCCTGCTTCCTGAACAAGCTCAGGCACAAACTCCTTTCTCTGAGCCATGGGGAAGTGGAGAGCCAGCTAGCAAGCAGGCATTAGGGTGATAATTACAAACAAACAAAAAAAAAGCTGTGATTTTCCTTCTGACTCACTTTCAGCCCCTGCATTAAGCCAGAAAGTGCCTAAACCAGCCCACACTTTCACAGCACAATCAAGTTCACTGTTTGCGTTGCTGTCCCGCTCCATTACTGGGATGAATACAGATGCCTCCACCTGCTCTGTATTTTGCCTACCTAATGTAAGAGAATACATTAATGCTACATACATGGTGCCTTCATGCAGTGAGAGCTGTGGGAAGGCTCAGTTGGGTGGCCTTTTTGCGGTGGGGTGTTTATAAGCAAGCTGAGGGACGCAGGAAATAAATGGCATGAAACAAACCTGAAAATCCAAAGCTTCATAGGCTGCAGAAGGCAAAACCAGAGGTGCAAAGCTGCTGGAGGAGACCTGTTGCTCTCCCCCACAGCCTTGTCTGCACCCATTTTCAGGGTACACTAAGCCCATCAAAACTCCTCTCCCCCAAAACAGGGTCCCGCAATCAGAATGAGCTGCCAGCATCTTTGCAGTGCAGAGGCAATGGCTGGTGCTTCCAGGCTAGCCTGAAATTTTCATGCTATAAGGACAGGCAGAAGAGTGCTCCTTGCGTGAGCCACCCAATTTGGGCTCCTCTTGGATATTTTTCTTCTGATCCCAATATAATTGATAATCCAGTACTTTTCAGCTGAACCTAACACAGAAAACCCCAAATCCCTAGATTTATGTGCTTATTCAAAACTTTTGCTTTGTTTCCCTGCCACAAAGCAAACACATGCTCTTATCCCTGCCAGGAGACCAAGTGATCTGGGAGCACATGTCACTGATGTTTGGCAGCTGGCAAGCTCTCATGAGCATCTGTACCTGTGAAGCAGTCATGAAAGGTGCCTGCCCTTCGCAGGAAACTCAGCCTTTGCTTGCTGAATAGGAAACGATGAGAAGCAACCACCAGCAACATGACTACCCCAAAGCTGCATCCTGAATGCTGCTGGTGACCCATCCTCCAAGGTATTACACAGCCTTTGCAAACATAAGCACCAGTTCTGGACATGAGACCAGGATGGGATTGAAAAGAGCCCATTTGTGGCCAGTGTTTCAGCAGCTGCCTGAGTGGATGCCCACTACCGCACTGATATTGGCCAAGAACAAGCTGTGCACCACCAGCCACCTGTGGTGGTGCTGGTGTGCATTTGGGCTGGGAAATTTCCAGGGTAAGGAGGAAGAGGGTTGGAGAGATGGCCAGAGACAGCGTTTGCAGGCAACAATGCATGTGGTCCACACTCTGCTGACCTGCTGATTAATACCTTCCCCCTTCTCTGCTTGCTTTAGTCATTGTCACTTCCTCAGTCATCATCACCACCTTGTTTGCATCACGACCTCGCTTCAAAGCGCTTGGAAACACCGTGCTAAAGCACACTCTATATGAGTAGGACACTCAAGAAGGGAGGCCCGTTTAAATCAAACAGCTTCTAGTGGTTTTACAAAAGTAGGATTGGGCAGCTCAGGGCAAGGGCAGTTGTTACTCACCGTGACAGTGTCCTGGCTGAGGAACCCAGAGAGGCTCCCTGTCCCATAGTGGATGGCAAACTCGGTGCCGTTCTCCACATAGGTGCTGGATTTAGAGGCATCGTACTTGTGGTGCAGCACTGCAACCAGGGAGGAGAACATGGGGACATAAAACGTTAGTGCTCCTTGATACCTAGGGTTTGCCAACACCTAACCCCACACCACCCAGCTCATCTGGACAGACACTCAATGATGTGAAGACAGGACTGAACCCAGCATTTGCCAAGGCCAGGTTCCTTAACAAAGTGTTTCCAACGTCTGGGGAATTACGTGAGCAGATCCAATTTGGCTGTTAAATCGGATTTTGCCACTGGGTATTAAAAGCCTAGAGACTACATGGCTGGTGTTTCAGGGTGTGTTAAGACAGCAGAGCAAAATGCATCCCCCTGTGCCATAGAGAACCAGAATGGCTTTAAACATAGCCTGCTCTGGGCATGAACGTTTTCACTTGTGGATTTCTATGTTTCTTTTACTAAGACTGGCTGGATTTTTTTTTTTATATGGTCATTGTTTTTTGCACAGAGAGGCCTCAAAATATTTTTTTTATTTGCAAAGGAAAAGGACTTTCCCTCAATGTAGGCTGCTTTTCCCTTGGAAAGGTTGAGAACTGTAAGATATCCCTGTTTTTACAGCTAGGTAGATTCCTCCTCCACAGATTCCTCCTGAGTCAGGAGGTGGGCAGTGGTGTGTAGCAAGCTTGGCCAGCCCAGCTCCATGGCTGCTTGCTGAGTGGGGCAGACAGCAGATGGGGACAGACCAGCTGAGCCCTGCAGAAACCAACACGCTATACAGGGACTTCCATAGCTGGACTGTCTGGATGCCAGCCTGGCAGGAGGCTGGGCTCATTGCATACTTGTGATTGCATACCCTTTGATCCCAGCACCTCCTGCACCACTGCCTTGAGAAACCCGCCCCCTGCTACAGATCAGGAACATCCAAGAGAGACCAAGTCTGGACCTCACCACCCTACCAGTGTCCTAAATCTCATTCACATATGCAAAAAGAAGGTCTGCCTTCTCTCTGGGCAACACAGGACCATACAAGAAGCCCAAATTTCCTCCTACTCCCAATGAGCACTTTGGGCCACCTCCCATGGTTGCATTTGTTGGCTCCACAGGTTTCTCTGCTCTGCTTAAGCAGCACAGCCAGTACTTTTAAATGGCATTTTGCCATCACCGGGTTTGACACCTTTGGCTGTGGAAGTGTATTGCATAGGAATGCCACAGAGCAAAAAACCTTGTAGTTCCTAAGACATTCTCATCTCATTGTGCCTACCTGGCTCTCATTAATTATAAAACCATAAACATGCATGCACATGCTCCTTGCAGTAACAGAGCAGAAACTAGGGTGGTTTGTATCAGATCTGGCAAGTGCCTGATTTTTTTCACCAGCCTTGCACAATGGGGCAACAGCAGCATCAGTCTGTAATTTGGGGAGAAACATCACAACCTACGATGCTGCTCCCCGGCTGCAGGGCTGAGGCTGTTAGGGAATGTCTGAAGCTGTGTGTGGGCGACTTGGAGTGGAAAAAACAGGAAGGGAGTAATGAAGGATGGATGCAATTCTAATTCCAACTCTGACCCTAAAGAGTCTGTCAGCTTTTGGCAAGCCCTTTCACACTGCTGCCTGAGTTTCCGCGCTTGCAATGCCAGGATCTGCATTTTGTAGGGAAGGAGAAGATACTGAGCTGTGGCTGGCACCAGTGACACTTACAACAGGCGATGTCCAGCAGGTGACAGTGCACAGATGGCACCCAGAGGTTGGAGGAGCCAGTGTCAAAGACCACAGTGAACTTTTGTGGTGGGGTTCCGATGCCAATCTCACCATAATACTGGGCCTGCAGAGGAGGAGAAGGGAGCCATGAGTGGAGGCAGCTGGTAAAAGAAGGGATTAAAGACTAAAAAATCTCTTGGGATTGACATCAGCTTCTTATCTGGACACTGCCTTCCTCTTGTTTTAGACTGTGATGGGCACCCAGTCTTTGTTTTTTGGAAGGGATGATCCCCTTCAGTGTTCATACCACATTACAGCAGGTGTGAAAAGGATAAACTGGGGAGGAGAAGTGGGATGGGTGTTTGCGGAGGAGGGCTTTTGGGGCAGGGACACAGGGCAGAAAAGAACTGGAAAGGTCTGCAGGCTTGCATGTGGCTCAGTATAGGGAAGAAAAAAAAAAGATGGGAAGAAGCCAAGCAAAACACCTGTGTTACTGAAAAGCTGAAACTGTCTGGGAAGCTGCTTCACTAGTAAGTTTGCAGAGGAACTGCAGCCTTGCAGCAGCTCTGCTGCCATGGGTGGAGGTACAGCTGCCAAAGCTTTTGGTACATGTTGGCAAGTCCCTGGGATGGGAAGGAATAAACAAATGCTCAGTTGCAGGTTTTGGTAGACTTAGGAGGAACTGGATGGAACACTGCCAGAGAGGGATTTAAGGCTGTTGGGTGAGAGTTTGGGAGGATGACTGGGGAATGCTCAGCAGGTCCTGGATGGACCCATTTTTCCCCAGCCCTCCCAAAAGGGCAGAGGGCTGTGAAATGCCCAGTGAGCAGCCAGATCAGGGTCTGGAGAGAAGGCTGTAGCAAAGGAAGTCAGACTGTAGTCTTTCAAAGCCTCCACATGTACTTAATTAGAGGAAGGGAAGTTGGGAGAAAACAGGATTATCAAAGCTCCTGCGCGCTTAGTTTGCAAGGGCTGCTCACTGAGTAATTACTAATCCATTACAATTAGCCATAATGGGGAGGCAGCACTTGCTTCCAGTGATTCTGTAGTTGTTGCTGGGCCTTGAAAATTAACCCCCAGTCTGTATACATCACATATACAGACCCATGAGGGGTACCAGGGGCTGGTGGGACCGTGTGGGACAGACTAAGGGAGGTGGCACCTTTCATCCCAACATCCCCTCAGGCAGCTAGAGTTTTCAGCCAGGCCGGGAGGGATGCAGCAGTCCCTTATCTCCCACTACAGGCTGGGCTGTTCCCCCCTGTGCCAATGGAGCAGAGTCCTTCCCTGAGGGCAGCCTGAGCTGTGGTCGCAAGAGACAAGGCCATGGTGCAACTGCTGGTACCCTGGCTTTCGACACCACCGATTAAAACACCGGCAGCCCTTCCCTGCCCAGCCCTGGCAGGGCCGTGTTGGCTGGGTGTCAAGAGCCCCTGGGAAAAAGGGAGGAGGGGGAAACTTTCTGAATTAATGTCCAAATAGGCAGCGGCAGCTTTATTCTGCTGGCCAGTGTGCACTTCCCCACCATCCCAAGAGCTGTGAGGGTACCCAGTGGGGAGCCCAGAAACAAGAAACACCACATGTATCTGGCAGCTGGGGAAGGGCAAACCTCATGTCCTTTATGTGGCTTCTCCTTTCATCTCCATTTCCACCACGAAGGTCCCTTTGCTCCCTAAGCTGCTAAGAAGAAGGTGGAGGTGCAGGGTGGCTTTTCCCAAGGCCATGCAGAAGATGAAGGATAGCAGGAGGAAGGGTCAGACTCACAGACTCACAAGCAATCTGATGCCCTTTCTGAGCTCTCTTTTCCTGCCCCATGCTTGCTCTTTTATATTCAACTCCTCAACGAGTGGAGCATGATCTTTATGCCCCCCAACTTGCAGAAAGGCCAGAAGATGCTAGGAAGGACAGCAAGCGATCAGACCCCTATTTACAATAATTAATTAGTGACAAAGGGGAAAAGAAATAGGTCACGGAAGCTGCAAAACTCCCACTTGGGTGGCAGTAGATTGTTTGTTATTATTATAATTATCAGTATTAGAATTTTTAGTTTAGCAATTACGGAAGCAACTTTCTGCAACCACCCACTGAGCCGTGGGGGTGCATGAATCTGTCCTATGGGATTAACACCTCTCTCTCCTTCACTTTCCCAGCTGTGGTGGGATGGCACGGCTGGCATTCCCCACCATCCCCTTGGGATGGGTAGCCCCAGAAGTGACAGCCTCCTGGCTGGCATCATGCTGGGGTCTGCTGCAGTGGAGGGGTGGTGGGCAGAGGAGTGCTACTCACATCCATGTAGTTCTTCAGGATCTCTGGAGTGGGCTCAGCCACCTCACTGAAGCCAAGCTTGAACTTGAGGAGCTGGGTCAGAGCATTCATGTCTGGGATCTCACTGTTCACCTCGTTCAGGACCCGCCGCATGGAAGGGAACTTGGTCAGAGGGATCCTGTGAGGGGAGGCCATTATTAATGGGGGTGGGGGGCTTCTGGAGAGGGGAGCAGCACAGCTCCACCAAAACCAGGGGGACTACCAGCATGGGCTAGATCACGTGTGGGCTCCTGCCGGCACTCCATGTTGGATCCTCCTTGCTGTGGTCCGTGCTTTTCCCAAAACCAGAGGTTTGGGGGGGGGTTCGGGGAGGGGGGGGGGGGGGTGGTAAGGGGGAGAGGGAAAGGAAGGGCAGCAGGTGACTACCAAGGTTCACCGGGAATAGGAAAAATTGGGGCAAGCCCCTTCCATCAGCCCTGAATTCTCATCTGTGGGGGGTTCCAGCGCTTCTCTCCTCTGCTTTGATGGTGGCGGAGCAGCCCCGCGTGGGGGTGCCTGCGAGAGGAGCCCAGAGGCCACCACTGCATGAGCACTTGGGCTGCATGCCCCATGTCCCCACCCGGTCCCCATGGGACCCCCCCGGCTCACCTGATGAGGGCCGCGCAGGGCCCGGCCAGCGTGAGCAGCAGGAGGAGGAGGCTGCGGGGCGCCATGCTGGCGCTGCGGTGTCTGTGGGACGCAGAGGGAGCCGCGGACGAGAGACCACACGCGGCCCTTGCCGCTCGCCTTCCCTGTTTTTGTAGGAGCGGCGGCCCCTCTCCGGGGATCGCTCCCAGTCAGCTGACGGGATAAAATTGCAACCGGCAGCGTCACGTGAGGGCGGGCCGGGGCTGGGCACCCGCGGGGTGCGGGGACCCGCCTCACGGCGTGTGTGCCCTTCCCCCTTTTCCCGGTCCCCAGGCCTGACCCCCGGCACTGGGCCCGTGACTCAGCCTCCGGGAAAAGGGGAATAAACAGCTACAAACGCATCACGAGGTGCCGTGTGCTACCCTCTGTCGCGTCTTTAACTTCTTTTTTTGCCGGCACATTTCGTTAGGATTATTTTGTTATGTTCTTTACGTGTTTTATGGCTTTTCTCCTCTGCCCTGGAGGTGGGGGGCACCCGCAGCCAGGATTCCCCCACCAGCCTGACATGGTGGTGGCTCAGCCCCCTAGAAGCCCATGGACTTCAGGCACCTTTCCTGCGGTCACCAGTGGTGACATGCAGCCAGGCTCACAAGGATGTCTGTACCCCTTGGCCAAGGGGCTATGTCAGCTCCCCAGGTCCATGCTTCGCCCTGACCCCCAGTTTGGTGGGAATCATCCCTTTAGTCTGGGGTACTTTGAAGGAAATGGGCATAACCTTGTTTGGGAGGGGCCAGACAGGTGCCAGGCCAGATTCCAGCATCAGGGAGCAGCAGGGTGGGCTCTTTGCCATCACTGGGGTGTCAAGGCAGGGCTCAAAGGTGCCACCCTGCTGGCTTGGGAGGCAGTGGACAGAGCTAATCTTTGCCCAGTTCTTCCTGACCAAGCTCTTGCAGAGCCACAAGACCAGCTAGAGAAAAAGAAAAATGAAATAAAATCAGATTCACGGGCACTTTGGCTTCCAAGTCCTGAGAGGCAGGGGTGTTGGTTTGCTGCTGCTGGTGCTTCAGGATGAGAGAGCAGCAGCCCCTGGCATGAGATGGGCACTGCTGAAGTGGAGTACCCATGGCTTCGTGGTAGGATCCCTGTCCCTTGCCTGCCTCCTTCATAAAAGTTCTGGGAAATTGATGGGTCATGTCACTGGCACCTAGCTTGTGCCCTCCTTCCCTGAGCCTCTTCCATCCTCCTGTGGCCTCACGCAGCATCCCGCTGCCCCAGGTCTGTGCCAGCCACCCCCTGACTGCAGTCTGTGCTGAGTGGTTGTAGGGTGTACTTCTGACCTAGGCTGCATCTCCTCTCACTAGCTCACCAAATGCCTTGGTCAAGCCAGGGATATCAGGAAACACGCAGCTTCCCCATGGGACATGGCACATAACGGAATGAGGTTTTCAGAAGCGAAGGCTGGAGGCATTGAGTGAGCCTGACGGGTCCTGTTACTTCGGCCAGCCCCCGCTTCCCTCCTGCCCCTGCGGGCACGTGGTCAGCTCGAATGCCACTGACCCTGAGTCAGCAAAACCCTGGCCCCGCGGCGCTGCGTGACTCAGCAAAACCCTGTGTGGTTCTTCTTGGGCTAGAGGCCAAGGAGTGACTGCTCCCCAGCATCTGTAGCCTGACCCCAAAGGCTTCACTGCTGCCACAGGCTTCAGCTCAGGTGTATCCTCCTCTTGTTCCCCTGGGTACAGGCAGCCCCAGTGCTGAGTGTTGGCAGGCAGGAGTGGGTCAGGCATAAACTAACCCAACTGTGGTCCCACCCAAGCAAACCCATCCTTCGCAAGGGCTCGGAACCCCCTTGCAAATGTGCTTTGCAGATAAAAAGGATAGCCCTGACGCCAGGCTTGGGGCTCCTCTGCACCTTTTCAGGCTCTTCTGGAGCCCATGAGGTACCAGCCCTCCTCCCTTCTCATTGATGTGGTCAGGAAACAGCAGCTGGCTGGGCAACAAACACCTGGCCTCCGGGCTGAGGCACCTGTGGCAGCTCCTCCAGGAGTGTTTCCAGTCCAGCCAGTCTCCCCCAGCATTCCGTGGCTACGGAGCAGGCTCCAGCATGCAGGGATGGGCTGGTGAAAACAGCACACCATGCTAGCCCCATACCACCATGTAGTGCAGAGAAAAGCTTTTTGGCAGGGTCAAGCAGACTGGATCCAGTCTGTGCCTGGCTTTTAAGCTCCAAGGGATTAAGGGCAAGCCTTTGCTTGGGCTTCATGGTAACAGATCTTGTGCCTGCATCCAGAGCTGCTCTCATCAGTGCAAGAGGTTTGCTGCTTTTAGACATGCTGCTCTGACTTACATGTCCATTGCACTGGTGAGCCCAGACACCAGTGAAAAGGAGGACAGGATTGCATCAGGGAATGTTACAATACTGATCCTCTTCTGGGTGCTCGCAAGATGGGAAGGGACCAGGAGGCTTATCCCCATAGTGTTTAATTTGGTACCAGCCCTTGGCACCAGTGGTTTCGGAGCTGACACCGGTGTGCCTGTGTGCAGGACCATGGAGCAGTGGCTCCAGCAAGGAGCTAGGATTCAGGCTCCCTCAGCACCTCTGTGGGATGTTTGCCCTGATGTCAAGGTCTTGAGAGGCACAGCAGGGGTGTTTGACCAGGAGCTAAGTGCACATCTGGGTATTTATAGGCTGGGACTGTGAGAGTTGCACTGTTTATCGTCAAAAGATAGACTGGCATGAGCCTGGGCTTGGACGTTTTACACATTTTCCCTTGTTTGCGGAGCAGGACCCAGAGTGCCGTGCTGGGGTGCCTGGAGCAGGCAGAGATCTGTGAGAGGTGGCCAAGGGGCCTGTCCCTCCTTGCTCCTATTTTCTGATTTGTGGATGAACCCCTTTACTTGCTGGTTTGGCTGCCCGGCTCCCCTCATCCCCCTGGCTCCGCGAGGTGAGCTGGAGTGCTGTTCCGGGCAGCCATGGCAGTAGGCGTGGGGTGACGCACCCCTGGGAGCGGGCCACACTTTTGCAACCTCTGTCCCTGCTGGAGAGGATTCCCAAGGGGAGGTCGAATGACTCAGCCCCAGTGGCTCCCATAGGGAGGAGCAACCCAGCCCCAACCCTGGAAGACTGGAGTCCCACCTGCCCTTTGCCACTGGGGCAGGGACCTGATGCTGCTTGGTTTCAAAGCTCTCGCTGCTCCCCTGTCTGCAGTCTGGCAGCACTCTGGCAAGCCTCTTTCTCCTTACATATGGCCATGTGTTTGCCTTCACGCTTTCCATGATTTTTTTTAAATTTATTATTTATCACAGTGGTAGCCAATGCCCCGAACTGCAATGACAAAAGGGCAAAGAAAGCTTCAGTTCAGAAATGTCTGGTATTTTATGTCCAAGAGGTGTCAAACACAAAGCTGTGTGAGTTTTTCAAATACAGAAAGGTTTGGGATTTTGCATCTCATTACTAAAGGACAGAAAAAGACTATTCTGCTTGGTCTGAGCCAAGCAGAGCCTACAGGTGTACAAGCCTGGGCAGGTCTGGTTGCAAACACCATGACTCCAACTCAAGGTCTCATCCCCATGCAGCATAAAGCTGCTGGATGCAGCTAACTGGCAGAATTAGAGCCTGATTCACCAGACTGGAGCCCTCGAGCAAAGCAGAGGTAAATTTTTCCCAGCACAGTGCCAGGACCTCACCCACTCCCAGTGTCGTTTCCTAAATTCACAAGGTGAGAACATTTTCCAGTGGCACTGGCACGTCCCAAATTACACCCTTTTAGTGGGTGATACCTGCAAAACCCAACCTGAGGGTGCTTTAGAAGCAGTTCCAGCTGATGGGACACCTGGGAGCAGGAGAGGAGTTACACTGAGCATGCAAAGGGACTCATCCAGGCCCTGGCCACCATGTCACAGTGCTGTGGGCACTGTGGGAGATGTCCTGGGCATCATGGGCAGTGGAAATTCCCCATCCATCAGTGCCAGCTGGATTGAACTGGGACTGTCTGAGCTGGTTTGGAGGCAGGGCTGGCCAGCTGCCTGCTTAAACATTTTTCGCATGCTAGCATGGGCTGAAGCGATCTTGGGGAGACACTAAGCGGAGTTGCAAAAGGCTTAGACTGGGTGGTAATTCTTCCCTTGGTACCTCTCATGCTGCAAACCCTGATCCCAGTGGTGGGTGATGGTGACTTTTCAGCGGTTGGGTGGCATGGCTGGGTGGCATGATGGTCAGGAGCCCTGAATATGGCTCCATCTCCATCAAAGCTGTTTGCAGCAGCTTTTGAGCATGGGGTGCTTTCACCCCAATGGACCTTCTCTATCAGATCTTGCTCTTCCCCACTTTGCCCTAGCTATTACATAAAAAAAAGCCTTTATGCAGCGAAATGCTTATGGTCTTCAAGCCTGCAAGCTGCCCTGGTGTCTTCACTAGATTTTACTTATACACCATCTTGCCTTACTGGGCTGCTGCCAAACTCGTCATCACCCATCCCCATGTCCCACGCATTCTGTGGCCCTGCCCAAATTCCTGCCACCCCTGTGCCACCTATCCGCGCCTGGCCCTGCTCAGCATTGGACATCCTTCCACATCCCCTTGCCTGTCTTCTCCTGCAGCTGGATGTGGACATGCTTGCACCCACCCTGGGGAGGAGGGTATCTGTCTCACCCTGTCTGCTGGCCCTGTTTGCCCCTCGGGGCAGGGATCTCATGATGTCTGCCTCACCCAAGTTATTTTGCAGTAGTCTGAAATTGCTGGGGATGGACAACAACAACCCTGGCAGGCACCGGCAGCAGGCAGTGTGACTGGCAGCTGACGGGATGGGGTGGTAAGTGGCAACAATGGCATCAAATCATTGCCTCCCACGCCAGGATGTGATAGGGAACACCGGGACCCGACTCACCTTGTCGCCTGACTTGAGCAATCCCTGCTGTGGCCCCCAGGGCCATGCCAGCTGGATTGGGGCAGAAAGGTATCGGCTCACCGGTGGGGTTTCCATGTACAAAGCAGAGATGTGCCTCAGCCACATCCAAGCACATCATCCACCTCATTTTCTTCACCAGCACTAGATGCCATTTAATTATTTCCTTTTCACTTTCAGCTGAAGCTGCCCCGAGGAGACCATCATTTATGCAATCACGACTACAATGTAACAAAACAACGGAAGAAATTGAGCCTTCTGGTCCTGACAGCAGTGTGGGCTTAGAAAGAGGACGCTCAGCACCCCATGGTGACCCAAGGATTGGCTTA